AAGATCTCTCCATAGTAGTCGGAAGTGAGATCGGTCTTGTTCCTCAATCTCTATTTAAACAATAGAGTGTTTATGTCTCGGAACTATCGGCTGATAGTTGCCCCGCGGAAATTTGATGTTCTTAAAACAAATATTTTCCCGAGAAGCGAAGCTTCGAGAGCAAATATGCCAGTTTTAAGAACATCAAATTTCCAAGGGGCAACTATGAGGCCGATAGTTCCGAGACATAAACACACTATTATTTTTCTTGTTCACCACTAAATTTTCTTCCGTGCCGACAGCTTGTCACAAATGTCAATAATTCGCAACCGTACATTGGCTAAATAATACGTTATACCTGTCAGAATTGAAAGGTCACTGTTTTTCCGATCTGCCTAACTTCGCGGCCGTGAAACTATTCAAGACTTTTGATGAGTAATATCAATCCAGGTATTTTCCGCGGACGAGCACTATCCATCCGGGTATTTTTCGCGGGCGGGCACTATGGGCTGATAGTGTCTCTCCACGGATAAACACGATCGCGTCACGTGATCGATTTAAACCAATGAGAACCGGAGAAAATTTAGTGGTGAACTGTAACTGGAGATACCTATATTTAATGTCGCAGGCGATGCCAACAGGGTCTCGACGGGAACGGACGAGGACTTTGAAAAGATCTTCAACAATTTCGGCTCAGGATGAATCATGTCATTTAAGGAAGTACCATTACATTTAGCGGCACAGTCAAATACTATGGAGTGCCATTAACGCCAATATTCAGCTACTGTTTTTTCTATAAAATGGTGCTTAAGATATGAACCCAATTATGTTTTATGCAGCTAATCATTTTATAAAATGGTGCCTTAAAAATATGGAGCGCTTTTTATGAAGCCAATTATGTTTTATGCAGCTAATTATTTTTATAAAATGGTGCCTTTAAAAATATGGAGCGCTTTTAATTGAAGCCAATTATGTTTTATGCGGCTAATCATTTTATATAATGATTAGCTGCATAAAAAAGGCTTCATAAAAAGCGCTCCATATTCTTTAAGGCACCATTTTATAAAATTATTAACTACATAAAACATAATTGGCTTCATATCTTACGCATCATTTTATAAAAAAACAGTAGCCGAATATAGGCGGTAATGGCACCCCATAAAATACGATTCGTACTTTTGTTGTCGATTTATACATTCGCACGACAGGAAAATGCGGCAAATACCATGCGCTAGCTGACTGCTGTTCGTTTGAGGGAACCTTGCATAAATATCCTTTATCAACGCAGGCTTGGATGGTTGCTTGATATTCTTCGGTGACACGGCTGTTCTTCTTCAAATTTCTTTCGGTGCCTCATAGGCAAGACGGTGCCATAGGTTTAGTGTCAGGGAGATCAGATTTGTTTTCTTTCCAGGGAAAGGCTACACGATACCTTCCATTTTTGTACTTTAGGGAATCTTTTACTGTGCTTAAAGCTAGTATTTCTTCTTCGGTGAGTACGAGTCCGTCATTGCGGTCTCTACTAGACTTCTCAATTTCCCAGAATCTCTTTAAGCTGTTGTCGACATCACAACAGGACTCTTTTCTCTCGCTGCAAATAGGCTCTCTAGTGAACAAGGAACGAATAACGTGAGATCGTGTTCTCGCGGTTTCGCTTTCGTCAGGCGGATCTATACAACTCCACCCAAGTGGTCCGAGGCGAGTGATAGGTCCACCACGTTTTCCTCGGAGATCAACATGTGAATAATGAAGTTCAGTGTCATCAATGCCAATCAAAAGATCGACAAGTCCATCATTTTCCGGCTTGGAAAGACTGAACTGGGTCAGGTGAGGCCATTTTTCCTGATTTTTGTTTTAGTTCACAACTCTGTAACTGCCTGTGACTTTCTGAGGATATGTTTTTACCCCGATTTCCTTTGACAACCTGCCATCTACATTTTCGATTTCAATTTTTAATGGCATGGACTGAGACTTTTTGACGGTGTCATTGAGAACATGAACTTGAACTTTTTCGAAAGGCTCTTGCAGTTCTAGTACCCCAGCAACCTTTGCATTTAGGAAAGTTTAGTTCGATGCGTCGTCTAGGATGGCGTTTATTTTTACTTTTCTACCATTGGCCTTCATCCACACTGGGACAGTTCGTAAGGAATAAGATTCAGTCGACGTTCCTTTATAACAGCTGATTTAGGTCACAGCGGGTGTCCCCTCCCGTGGAACATCTGGGCGTCTCTCATTGTCAACACAAGGCAACGTTGTCGCCGGTCCAGTTTCTGAGAAAACTCTACCGAATCTGACTTTGTCTTTCAACCAGTCTCTGAAAGCTATGACTGATCTTTGTCTGGCGCGTTCGTTTCACCAGCGACTGTAATTCTCTAGCTGACGATCAGGCAACTTTTATACCAGCAGGCTGTGAAGAGTTCCATCCAGTAACTCACCGTCTTTTCCTTTGGCCTGTAACTTTACCACTGTAACTCTAACGACGTCATCAAATTTCTCTAGCGGGTGGATATAGTTGCTTCTTATTAACAGCGCCTGTTCTAGTTGATCAAAGTAGGCTCGCAGAAGCCGGCGCGTACCTCCATACTTCGTCTTTAATATTTCTTTCGCCTCCTCGTATTCGGGGGCGGTGACTCCAAGACCACGGATGACTTCAAAAGCGTTCCCTATAGGGCATTCTCGTAATCTTGCCATGTTCAAATGTACTGGTTCAGTTGAATCGTCTGGGAGACTTGTGAAAAGGGCCCAAAAATCCTCAAACCTTCTCTTGTCATCATTGAACGTGGGAACTGTTAACGGCTTCAAATATTGGTTCCGGTCGTCGTGGTTGCCGTGACTTTCGTTAAGCTGATCCTCTCGGGCCGATTGCTCATAGCGATCCGCTGTGCTCTCGCTTAATGGCCAGTTCATATTTGCGGTTTTGGACGCGCGGACTTTAATCGCATTTTGACCCGCTTTAATCGTTCTTTGTACGCCTCTTTCCATCGTTTCAGACTCTTTAAATGCTTTCTTTTTTGCAGCTTCTTCCTCGAATTCCACTGACATAGAATGCGGTCAGTTCCTCTTAAAAATCTCTTGTGCTTCCTCTAGGGCTGCCCTCAGCTGTTGAATCACACTTTTTATGTCCGCTATTTCTGAATCTCTTAAGCATAGCCTTTGCAACTCATGTCTCAGTTATGTGGACTTCGTCTTTGCGTTACGTGTTCTTTTCTTGATCTCTATCAACAGAACGTCATTTTGCTTTTTTTTTCTACTCCACGCGGTCCAGTTTTGTCGTTTTTCTCGGTAACTTCAATGACTTCGCCATTCTCGAACTCGGGGGAAGCCATAGCACTCAACTCCAAAACTCAACNTTTTCTAACAGGACTCTACATCTTTCTGGAGTTTTAGAAAGTTTTTTTATGAATTCGCTCTAAAATGGAAGAATCAAACTGACTCAAAATAAGTCTTGAAGCTGTAATTTATGACTGAAGTAAGATGAATCCAAAAACGAGCTACGTCCCAGGCTCAGTGCATCGTCTAACAACCTGTTTATTTCCTTTTCTTGGAATCCTTCAAAATCAATTAAAGGCGCTAGCTGTTTTGAACTGTCTTTGCCCTCCCATCAAAAACTTTAGATGCTTTTAGTATTATAATGCGCGCCTTTCTTCAGTGGCATTAAACAGTTTCAAAATTGGAATGATCAATGATTAGTTTGTTTTTTCAGGAAGTTTTGATCACTTTAAAAATACGATTGACGTAAAACAGAATGTATTAGCCAAAATTTAATTATGTATGCCAGAGAGCTGACAAAGTTACCAGCAGTTACCAATTCTTTCATTCGAAGTATGCAAGGCCACGCTGAGCACACTTCGCTCGTTGCCAGTTCCAATTCATGAATCCTTCCCAGTGCTGAGACCGCAACTGAATATGTACAGTCATCGTAATTCCTTTTCAATAATTTTGTGCTTTAAGAATTAGCAATACATTCAAATAAAAATTGCTCAAATTGTCTTAGAATTGACAATACAACGTTGTTCACGTTCCCAGTAACCATCTCGGAGGAGGATATGTTGCAAGATATATTTTAGAACTTTAGATTTGGTAGAATTACTGATCCAAAACAGTATAAGACTCCAAAACCACAGAACTTACAGGTTTCTAAATTCTTTCCCCTCCCTATATGTACGTGGTAACTGGTCAGAGGACAAGTTCTTTATGTTGTTGTTGTTCAGGAAACTGCAGTGGAAAAAAGGAAAACACAAGATAGGGTTGCTGAAAAGCAATTAGACTAGTGGATTGATTTCCTTTTGTGCTTCCGTTGTAAACTTGAAAGGTAACAAGAAATGTGACGACATCAGACATCTTTCTTAACATTTCGTGAAACAGGAATTATCCAGTGCTCCCGATAATATTTTTCTTATATAAAGAAGTCGATCATTGGACCACAGAATGCATGGCTTTTCTACTGTCGACGAAAAGAGGCTGAAGGGAATCCATTTTCAGAATTGCTTCGTTAAGATGAAAAAGTAGCCTCTCTTTTTACACAACAACTGCCGCATTCAGTTTCTATTTACTTCTCTGTTTTAAAAAGCCCTCTTTCTATTAATGTTTGCCACATTATATAACATGTGCCAACAGAAAATTAAATCGTTATCTCGATGTCTTTACGTACACAAATTCTTAATTAGGTGCTTGAGCAGCTTAGCGAGGGAAGCAGACTATATGAAATGGACTAGATTCTATTTACAATAGAAATTTTCTGAAGAAAAGTCTGTAGAATAGTATTTAGACAAGCTGAAAATAGACTGCTAGGCGGTTTGAATTCAATGTTATTTAGTTGGGAACAGATTGCTCGCCAGGCTTTCGTCGGCTTGTAAAATGAAGGAATCAATGCGAGGTAAAGACCTGTGCGATTCAAAGAGGATCATTCCCATAGAATCATAAAGTATGTCTGTGTTGCCAAAAAAGACGAGGAGGGCCTTGGCTGTCCTTCTACGATATCTGACCCATCAAAATATCAAAATGTCGATAGACATGTCTTGCAAGTTGACGTTTCGAATTGTCTTCATGCTTGCTTCATATTTAAGCGTTGATGTGGCTTTGAACCAAGAAAAGGGATGGGAAAAGTATCAAAATCTTGAGGCTGCACAACGCTGAATGTTTTTAAGAGCTTACATCCCAACTGGCGGTGTATGACTTTCAAGTAATTCATAGGTAAAGTGGAAAACTTGAAACAGCTTTATCGCGCAGTCAGTTTATAATCGGTTCTGTTTACCCGAGAACAGTTATTTTTTATACAAATCACGAGAATAGAGCAAGATAAGGTGGGAAAATGATCAGCTGCCCCATATCAAGTGAAAAAAACATTTCACTCACAGTTCGACAAGATTATAATTCTCAAAGAAGGCTCCTGAAGGTAGGTGTTCGAGTTGATTATACGACAAGTTGCTACAAAAAAGTAAACAAGCTNAAAAAAAACCTCAGAAAAAAAACAAAATACAGCTCATACCTTGCTCCCATCCCATCGTGGTCGCCAAAAATGTTCCGAAGCGAAACGGAAAATCTAAACAGACACTTTACTTCTAACACGGAAAACTGTAGACTCGTGGTAAACGATAACGACCGTTGATCAAACCGCCACACGATAAACTAAAAACGTTCAACTCATTTCTTAGAAAATCGCACACTTCAACAATAAAAAAACCATGTGATTTGCTTACGATATTATTAACCCACGTGATCCCAAAGCACGCACACGCGAGTCTCGCACGCACAAGTTTGTTAACGTCTTCTTGACAGTACCAGTTTTAGATACATGATAGAGCGCTTTTAAATGTGTCCATAGTTTTTAGCGTTATTTAAATGTTTTTCTGTTTATTTTATCAATTAAATGCAAGAACCTATTTACGATACAGGCAGAACAAAGCTTCCCGCTTCTTTTCCTTTTTTTTTTCTTGAATTCGTGGATGCTCCATTTGACATGTGCCTTATATGGCGGTGGTTGTATGCAACTTTAGAATTTGGCGATTAGTTGCACCGCCCATAAATTACTTTTAATACTGCATGAGTTCACTTCCAGTTTATTCAATAGATTTGCCGTTCCTAGTCTGTTACAACGCTGGTGACAAGGCTAAAACTACAAAGCTGACCTCAGACATTTTTCGTTCTTCTGGATAGTGTCTATCCGATACCAATCTGTGAGAAAGGATTACCTAAATGCAAATATATTTGTGAAAACACTGTTTTAAAGGAGCGGTTTTGGAAACTGCTCGCTCCGAGGATCGGCAATGTCGATAGCGTCATGTCTTGTACAGTGTAAACAGAATAATTTTGTCGTCTTTACAATGGTAATCAGCCATTAAAAATTGTGCTTTCCCTATGTGTGGCTCTATGATACAATGTGCCGAGGTCCCTCTATGCCAAAGTTCATTCCAGATTCCAGACTGTTCGATTTTGAGGCCTTCAGGATGCTGATGCAAACATCGTACACAGTGACCCACACGCTTCTGTTCTCAGGCAATATATTTCGCTCATAGCGGGATAGATTTCGCCGAGGTTAGGAGGAAATAATCGGGTTTGAAGAAAGGTATATCATTTGTGTGATTGACACTTCCCAATTTGGACACGCCATGTGCTTAGCGATCGCTCGCTGAATGTGAGTGAATTTGTAGAAAGAAAGCCCTCGAGACTGAAAAAAGAAAACGATGGGTCATTTACTATAAGTCGCAGTGCAGGTCATTTTGAACTTTCTCAAAGAACAGTGATTAGAATCAAATAGTTCCAACCAACGCCTTTTTAAAGGATTGTAACAATTCTAGTAAAGACCAAGGCCGGATCGGGATGACAAAAACCGATAGACATTACAGTAGAGTGCACATTAAGCTGACGCACAACTGAGGTTGAATGATATCAAAAAACGATTATCTTTAGCAAAACAGAAACTTTTGCGACCAAGACGAACTAGACCGATTCACATAATAATTAATGCGCCCGAAACTTTATCTCCAACTTTTTGCAGCTGAATCAGTACAAGTCAATAATTTTTTAATAAGTTGCCACTCCTACAAGGAACCCTCATTCCAATATGCTCCCCTTTTTTTCAGCCGAGATTTTGAAGAAGTGCCCAAGCGCTTATTCGAGGATGTACGTTTGACAGACTTGGTTAACAGAAGCCATTGAACTTCTCAAGATAAGATTCCCTGATAGGAATATTGCATTTACAAATAATTCAAGACTGCTCTGAGTTTTTGCGACACAGTTTGATACACTTACGCTCAAGAATTTTGGTAATTACGCTGGAATCATGCTCGATCATCTGACGACAGTATTACATACAAACTTATGCCGGTTTAATTAATCTGAGCCTATCACGGGTGTCAATCAGCTACTATTTAAAAACCAGGTGTCAGTGTATTATTAAGGACAAATTAAAAGAGGTGCCGGTGGTTCATTCTTTACTCTGTAACCTTAAACTGCTTCCATCCGAATTTTCTGTTAGATAAACAGCGATCGTTAAGAGTGCGAGAAACACTCGCACAAGTGTCATGAAATGTAAAACTCTGATCTTTGAAGCCTGGTCTAACATTTCAATGGATATTACTGTCAGGTTATATTCTTATGACACCCGAACTGAATAATTGTTTAATTAAAAACGCCCCCAAGAGATTATTATTTTCTAAGGAGAAACCGGATTTTTTAGCTCCCTTTTGATTTTAAGCTGACGTGTACGCTTACCTTTTTTGTAGATTATGGTATATTGGCTCATATACCATATTGGCTAAGCCAATAAAAAGTTTTGAATTGCATTATCTAATGATCCAGTTTTTAATCATTTCTGAGATAGCGATCAAGAACTGAATCAGTTCACCTTTGCATATCGGACTGTCAACGGAATGTCACCGTAAGGTTATATTTTTAATGCACCCGTGCTTAATTATTCCTGAGATGGCGATCAAGGTGAGAAAGGGATTTATTAGACTCGAATAACTAGAGATTACTCAAATACAAATACAACCAGAACAGTTCCTTTTATTTCTTCACTTTGGCATGTCGGACTGTCATCGTGTATTAAAGTTTCTTATGAAACTCATAAGGTCGTCAATTGGAGGTTCCACTAACCTTAAAAGCAATTATTTGGGGTTCGTTCCCATCTATAACTATCTAAATATTGTCCATAAAGTCAAGAGAGCTGTCGAAGCTCCTTGTCTCAGTGCAATTGTTTCCATCAGATTCTTTATCGACTTCAAGTGATGTTTCGCTTTAGCCATAAATCGTAATAACGTGCTCTGCACTCTGTTATATATTGCCTGAGATCCCAAGATCGCGATCGACATATACCGAACAAACGNCGGTGAGAGATTTACTGCTGATTCCGGCGGAGCTGCTAGAGTCTACTAATCCTTTGAAAAACATGACTTAAGGAGTCCACACTCGAGATATCAGCATGCACTCAGCAACTTGTCTAAAACTGCGTTTTCCTCGATCTGGCAGCCTTAGCATCTAAATTGTGACATTTCTGTCTTTGGTGATCGAGAGGGCTTACTACAGTATTCAGCACGTAGCAACATAACCGCACAATAGTCATGCGGGTGATCGGTGAACCCCCTGAACAAGATGGCATCCGAAACGTTCAATCAATCAAATTTTTTAGTCACTAAAGAAAACTATCGTGATTCACCATTCCAGAACAACGACCAGGCTCTTACACGTGTAACCTCGAGCACATAGTTCGTAATGCACGCACATGTATTGCAGGCTTTTTCTTCGAAGAGCATGCAGAAAAGTGTATTCTCAAAGTAAAGGTCATAAGGAAATCGGAAGAGACTTTTCACGAATCCGAGTATCAAGTTTACAACACGATCAACCTTCACGGTGTTGTTTTTGAAAATCTGTACGTCTACTTAAACGTTATTTTTCGAAATTCCAAATCTTGACATTTAGTTTCACATAGAAAATAATGTCTAACAGATTTCATTTTCATCTTATTTTAGAGTTTATTGATATTTTAAGCTGTCAATGAAAACGATCTGAGATGGGTCGTAAAGGTGGTTTTAACGTAAAACGTATCCCATAGAATAAGAAAGTGGTCAAGATAGGCACTCGTCCGCTAGTTCCCGCTATTTCTAATACGAAAATGCTCCTTGGTGCGCACAATAACTTGACTTTTTATGTATCATTGGTAATTAATGAAGGAGGAGATTCTTTACACGTGGACGTTCTATTTCAGTGAG